GTCTTAGCAAGATGCAAACCGAGTACGGACCTGGCGATGCCATCAAGAAGCGGCTGCAGCACGGTGATGACGCAACGCTGGAAGAGCATGACCTTCTCCACGGCAGACATTGCAGATGGGGGGATTGGAAGGAGGGCAAGTAGTGTGTGACCGGCTTTCCCCCATCGCTTGGCCTGGGCGATGTTCGCCAGCGTCATCATGAGCGGCCACGCCTTTTTCCGGCCGTTGTTGCTCATGTGCGTCACATCCGAATATAAGATGATCCCCCCCACAACTTCGGACCAACCGAAGTGTTCCTGCAGTGCACGACGAAGCGGCAACGGACACACGGTTTAACACTCAAGATGCTCTTGAGAGATCAGTGCTGCGATGGATGCATGACTCAGGATTGGGTTTGGGGTGGCAACGTGGTCTTTCCTTACCTGAGCATCATTCCACCACGTTCCTGTTTCGGGCGTGGTATAGCGACGGCCGCCTGCGTCAGGGTCCTCATCTACACGCGCCTTGAGCTTGAAGCCGGGCGCGTTGTTGGGATGTCCAAACATTTCAGCGAATGCCTGGTGTACGGTGGCGAAAGCAGGTGAGAGGAGAGGCATGGTTTGTGGCGGAGAAGGTGGGTGTACGGTTAATACAAGGATAACTAAGTACATGCAAACCCTGTGTGCCTCATCATCATTTCACGGCCTTGAATGCAAAGTCGGCTTACCTGGGCTGAGTTCTGGAAGAGCAAGCGCTGTGGTGGATGACCGTCAATCTCGAAGGTCGCCACCGACCATCCGCGATTGAACCCTGCCAAGCGCTCCAACTCGAACCGCTCCAGATCCTTACAGTTCCGGAGCTCCGAGTTCACAAGAGGCGCAAGGCCAGGCTCTACGACTAGCTGAAGCAGGCCGTTGATGTCAACCTCGGCCATTCCCATTCCGCCATTCACGCGCCGGACGAAATGCAGTAGCTTCAACGCGAGCGGATTGAGGGGCATGGCATTGCTCTGTCCGGAGATGACGGTTGGCGGCGCGGCATGACTCCCTTCGGGCCGGCTCTCAGGATGGTCAGTCGTCTCAGCCGCAGGAGCTCCATGCCGTGGTTGATGTTCATCTTCAGGAGGCCCCTCGTTCACGTCGTTGGGAGTTTCGTCAACGTGAGCATCAGGAACGCGTGGAGGTCGGCTCACACTGACGGCGTTGGATGCGTTAGACGCTGTAGGTGAACCGGGAGCGGCTGGAGCGTCCGACAGAATGTCGTGGACGAATAGCAAAGAGTGAAGACCGGCGGTCGGTGCAGATCGCGTGGGCCTCGCCACGGCGGATAGTCCTTGGCAAGGGGTCCGCCGTGACTTATGACCGCCATAAACTTGGGCATTGGGGAACCATCTGTTGCAGAACTCGCAAACGACGCCTGGTAAAGAGCCCATCAGTTACGGATCCGTTGTAGAGTCGAGACCTGGCCTATGAAGCTACTACCCGTGATGAAGCTTGTGAACGCATTAACTACCCCGTTCAAGAAGTCTGTGACAGCTACACGATCATCGCCAATGCGCGCACTGTGGTGGGCGGCTTGTATCACTGCACGACTGGCACTTGACGCACGCGCTAGTGTATATGACTGGCTAACGTTGTCGAGCCGCGTGGTCGTTACCAGGCACGATACAGACCGCCCATAGCACGGGCCGTCTTCCCTACAAGGCGTGTCGCCCCCGTTTACAGCGACCACGACGTGGCCAGGGGAGATGCACTGGATCTTAAGTCTCATGGTCGTGTATGTGATTCGCAAGCAAGGCGAGAAGGACGTGCCTATTGAGTCTAGAACAAGTTTTTATGAACTGTGCGTGAGAGTCGAGGAGGATGAGGAAGAGCAGGAAGAGATCCGTTTGGATCTCTGATTGTGTCGCGAATCGATATAGCCTCAAAATCGGAATTACGTAGGTGAGCTACAGAGGCGTCAAACAAACCTGGAAATGCATATGTACAGTTACAACTTAACAAGAAACTCGTATCATTCATAAATAGTAAACATTCATATCCTTGGGACTGTTCTTGAACAATCCTTACTCGATAACGATACGGGAACTACCCGGTAACTCCATGCCGTAACGTATGATTGGTGCTTGGAGCAAATACATATATCGTGCCGCACCGTGAAGAACGAATATCCAAGAATGGATGGCTGTCGTTAACGCATCTACGCTTGTGCGTTGGGCCTGTGCTTCATACCACTCCTTCTAAGCACCTTGTGTAATGTCTGTGCAAGAATGGATGACAATCCAACACCATACCACAACGGATTCACCAAGTCGCGCAACGCGGAGGCCTGAACGATGCATCGTTGCACAGTATAAACATGGCTGTCGATAACGCATCTACGCTTGTGCGTTGGGCCTGCGCTTCATACCACTCCTTCTAAGCACCTTGTGTAATGTCTGCGCAAGAATGGATGACAATCCAACACCATACCACAACGGATTCACCAAGTCGCACAACGCGGAGGCCTGAACGATGCATCGTCGCACAGTCTAAACATGAATGTCGATAACGCATCTACGCTTGTGCGTTGGGCCTGTGCTTCATACCACTCCTTCTAAGCACCTTGTGTAATGTCTGTGCAAGAATGGATGACAATCCAACACCATACCACAACGGATTCACCAAGTCGCGCAACGCGGAGGCCTGAACGATGCATCGTCGCATAGTCTAAACATGGCGGTCGATAACGCATCTACGCTTGTGCGTTGGGCCTGCGCTTCATACCACTCCTTCTAAGCACCTTGTGTAATGTCTGCGCAAGAATGGATGACAATCCAACACCATACCACAACCGATTCACCAAGTCGCGCAACGCGGAGGCCTGAACAATGCATCGTCGCACAGTCTAAACATGGCTGTCGATAACGCATCTACGCTTGTGCGTTGGGCCTGCGCTTCATACCACTCCTTCTAAGCACCTTGTGTAATGTCTGCGCAAGAATGGGTGACAATCCAACACCATACCACAACGGATTCACCAAGTCGCGCAACGCGGAGGCCTGAACGATGCATCGTCGCACAGTCTAAACATGACTGTCGATAACGCATCTACGCTTGTGCGTTGGGCCTGTGCTTCATACCACTCCTTCTAAGCACCTTGTGTAATGTCTGTGCAAGAATGGATCACAATCCAACACCATACCACAACGGATTCACCAAGTCGCGCAACGCGAAGGCTTGAACGATGCATCGTCGCACAGTCTAAACATGGCTGTCGATAACGCATCTACGCTTGTGCGTTGGGCCTGCGCTTCATACCACTCCTTCTAAGCACCTTGTGTAATGTCTGTGCAAGAATGGATGACAATCCAACACCATACCACAACGGATTCACCAAGTCGCGCAACGCGGAGGCCTGAACGATGCATCGTCGCACTGTCTAAACATGGCTGTCGATAACGCATCTACGCTTGTGCGTTGGGCCTGCGCTTCATACCACTCCTTCTAAGCACCTTGTGTAATGTCTGCGCAAGAATGGATGACAATCCAACACCATACCACAACGGATTCACCAAGTCGCGCAACGCGGAGGCCTGAACGATGCATCGTCGCACACTCTAAACATGACTGTCGATAACGCATCTACGCTTGTGCGTTGGGCCTGTGCTTCATACCACTCCTTCTAAGCACCTTGTGTAATGTCTGTGCAAGAATGGATGACAATCCAACACCATACCACAACGGATTCACCAAGTCACGCAACGCGAAGGCCTGAACGATGCATCGTCGCACAGTCTAAACATGGCTGTCGATAACGCATCTACGCTTGTGCGTTGGGCCTGCGCTTCATACCACTCCTTCTAAGCACCTTGTGTAATGTCTGTGCAAGAATGGATGACAATCCAACACCATACCACAACGGATTCACCAAGTCGCGCAACGCGGAGGCCTGAACGATGCATCGTCGCACTGTCTAAACATGGCTGTCGATAACGCATCTACGCTTGTGCGTTGGGCCTGCGCTTCATACCACTCCTTCTAAGCACCTTGTGTAATGTCTGTGCAAGAATGGATGACAATCCAACACCATACCACAACGGATTCACCAAGTCGAGCAACGCGGAGGCGTGAACGATGCATCGTCGCACAGTCTAAACATGACTGTCGATAACGCATCTACGCTTGTGCGTTGGGCCTGTGCTTCATACCACTCCTTCTAAGCACCTTGTGTAATGTCTGTGCAAGAATGGATGACAATCCAACACCATACCACAACGGATTCACGTTTGTTATTATTGATAATCGTGTTAGAATGACGTCCGCTGGCCCTAAACCATTGTGGCAAAGCCTAAAAGTGCGCAGTACATCTTTCCTAAGTAATAATTCAAGACGGTCGTTGTGTGTGTGACGTGAGAATCACGGATTAACTTACCCCAACCCTGTACAAAACCAGTTGCAACTTAGAGTTTGATGAAATGCGTTGTTACTTTGCAACCGAAAACACTGTACTTTGCAGGGATTTGACTAATTTCGCACTGTAGGTTTCACACCAGGTTTACCCTTTGTTGTGATTGATGTGTTGGCAACCGTCATTGGCCGACGCATCTCAAACGATTCCCCCCGCAACACAGTCATCAGCCAAGAGGTACTTCAGCCATTGGGCGGCTGAGATCGAGCAGAAGGTGGGTTTATGCTAGGGTGGCTACACGCACACCGTCCAATGTAGCCTGATAGGGTTACATTTCTCTCTCTTGTCTCGCAACTCACCCCAACCACCCTCGTGCCCCACCCACCTGCTTCCGTCACTCCCTGGGCCAACACTTTGACGCTGCTCGTTGCCTTGACACACGCCTCTCCAGATCGGCCTTAGCGCGAAGCATAGTGGCTACTATTTCAGACTTAGTTGAAGCGGCTGTTTTCGTAAACACATAACAGTGATAGACGGCCGATTATGCCTTCGTGGGATTCAGTAGCAAAACCCTTTCGAAACCGGCTCAACCCTTCCGCGCGATTTGCAACTTTTCTCTTCCTACGATTACCATGACACGTGCAACACGTAACCAAGCAATGGAGGAGGAACAGGCCGGCCGCCGCGCGACAAGGGGGACGTCTAAACAAATCGATAGGGAGAGTGGTGGCGGCGCTAAAAAAAACAATGCGTCCGTCGCTCGTGGCATTGGGCCGGAAAAAGCAGTGGCAAAAAAGGTCGCGCGCGGTCAACAGGAGGCCGGCAAGAAAGCGGCAGACAAGGGGCCTAAACCAACGCCACGCAAGCGTGTTTCTACAGTGAACAAAGCTGCGGATGGTGCCTCTGCTGGAACCGAGCCCGGTCCGAGTAAAGACGGCACCACTGGCGGCAACGAAGATCCGGGGCGAGGGAGCGCGAGTCTTGCACTCCCGTCGGCGGAGATGGAGGGTTCGGCGACAGGGGGAAATCACGGAGGCGATCCTCGCGCCGAGCATGCCGCAACCAAGGAGTCCGAGGAGGCGGCAACGCAACACCATCTGACGCTGCTCCAGCCGAGCGTGGTCGAAGTTTCTGCAGCCGTGCTGGATAAGGACAAGGTGGCACAGCACGAGTCGGTGGGGCTGGTCGGTGGCTCTCCTCCTTCGGGTGGACGAGGAAGGCGTAGGCAAAGGAAGAGCGATGGGGAGGAGGATGATGACACCGCCGTGCCCGGGGACCTCACCACGCGGGCGAAGAGGCGCCAGACAACAGGTAGTGCTGACAACGCCGGAGGCGCGGAAGTTGACACACCGCGAGGCGCCAAGGAAGCTAGTGGCAAGGCGGGCGGTCAAGCATTGCGCCAGAAGGGCCGCCCCGCAGCAAGAAAAGCATCTGGCGGAAGGAGAGGCAAGAAAGCAGCGACAGGAACGAGGCCAAAACGGGGCGATGAAGACCCCGGTGATACGGAGGAGGAGGAGGATGAGGAGGAGGATGCGGAGGGAGAGGAGGATGAAGAGGAAGCGGAGGAGCAAGACGCGGATGTTGGGGAGGATGCTAAAGATGAGAATGATGGCGGGGAGGACGAAGAGGAGGAGGAGGAGGAGGAGGAGGAGGAGGAGGAGGAGGAGGAGGAGGAGGAGGAGGAGGAGGAGGAGGAGGAGGAGGACGAGGAGGAGGAGGGGGATGAGGAGGAGGAGCAGGGTGACGAGGAGGAGGAGGAGGAGGAGGAGGAGGAGGAGGAGGAGGAGGAGGAGGAGGAGGAGGAGGAGGAGGCATCAAAGAAGGAGGAGGAGGAGGAGGAGGAGGAGGAGGAGGAGGAGGAGGAGGAGGAGGAGGAGGAGGAGGAGGAGGATGTGGCGCCAGGGAAGAGACGGGGCGGGCGTGGCGGTCGGGTGAGTGGGACAGGGAAGGAGGGGGGCCGGACTCGCCCTTCCCGAAAACGCGGGGCAGGTGACGCTGCGCGCGGCGAAGCAGCGGGCAAACCGAAGGCGCGTAAGGTGAAGGTCGAAAGTGAAGGGGTTGGTAAAAAGCAAGGGAGCCAGGGTGCAAAAGGGGATGGAGGAGGAAAGGGTGGCCGCGCCAAAGGGGATCGAGTGGGTACCGGCAAGAAGGAACCTGCCGGTAAACGTCGCAGCGTGCGCCGAAGCACCCCGCGGAAAGGTGGCAACGAGAAGGCGCAGGCTGCCCTAAAACCGAAGGGACAACAGAAAGGTGAGCATTGTGTCCAATACAACTGGCGTTACGTGTTAAACAATCTGCTAAACCGTCCCAAATAACACCCTTTATTCACATTGTTTCTCTCCTGCAGGGAAGGAGAAGGTTGACAAATCTGCCAAGCAAGGTAAACCCTCTTGTCTCAAACCAGTACAACCCTAAACCCGATCTAGATTCAAACCTTTCTGAATATGCATGCATGTCTGGCCCCGCCTTGAAACCGATCGACTCCAATTTTTATTTTCCCACTCCCTCTACATCTCAGCCCCTCGCGTTACAGGCATTGGGCCGCCCTTAAGCGTGCAACGAATGCATCTAACGAAGGCTGCCGGAATAGCGAGTGTTACTCCGCTCTCGTCCGGCGCACCAAGGTTCTACACGCCATGGGCCGGCCCCAGCAAAGTCGCTGCGACGGCACCCGGCGCGCCAAGAGGAGAGGAATCCGAATCCCCTCCACCCGTCCCCGTCACGCACTCCTCACTCGCCTCACCCTCGTACCCATTTCGGCAACTCCACGCTTCTCCTGTCCGGGGCAGGGCGGTCTCCCCCATCGCCGGTCCTTCGCGCGGGCATCAGGCAGGCACTTATGCCAATCCCTTCCCTGAGCTCCCCTTTTCCCGCCAGCGTGATAGTGTGAGGGCACACGGGACTGCTGCAGAAGACGTTGATACCCTTGGCCAGAGGGGGGATTCTTCACACCCTTTTCCTCCGCTCATGGGTGCCCTAGGTGAAAGTGAGGAGCACGAGCAGTTTGTTACACGGGAGGAGTTCCAGGCGCTGCGGTCTGAGATGTACGCCATGTTTGCACAGCTCGGCCTGCGTCGTGGAGTACCTGCCAGCTATGCCGGCGGGTCGGAAGCCCTGCCTATGGCTGGTACCCCGCCGCCGATGAGCGCCGTGGACAAGGCACGAGTGCTAGTGTTGCAGGAGACAAACCCATTCCCGGTATGTGGCGGGCCAAATGGGGCGGGTTGGGGTTGACGTGGCAACAAGGTCGAGGTTGGGGCTGACGTGGCGGGTTCGAAGGGAACACGGGAGCGGCGCGTGACGAGGCGACGCGTATCAGGTGGGTGGGGGGTGACGTGGCATGGGGTGGGTGGGTGTGACGTGGCAAGTGGGGCGGGTTGTTGGTGAACGTGGCGGATGCAAGTGCGTGTGACATGGCAAAAGGTGAGGGTTGGGATATGACGTGGCGGCGTGAAAGGGTGCAAGGGAGTGCCGCATGACGGAGCGAGGCGTTTCAGGTGGGTGGGGGGTGACGTGGCTCTTGGTGGGGGGTGTGACGTGGCTCTTGGTGGGGGGTGTGACGTGGCAAGTAGGGGGGGTTGTTGGCAGATGCAAAAGGGTGTGGCGTGGCAGAATGGGAGGGTTGGGGCTGTCGTGGTGGTTTGGAATGGTACACAGGAGCCGCGCGTAACGAGGCGACGCGTGAGAGGTGGGTGGGGGGTGACGTGGCATGGGGTGGGAGGGTGTGACGTGGCACGTGGGGCTGGTTGTTGGTGGACGTGGCGGATGCAGGAGGGTGTGACGTGGCACGTGGGGCTGGTTGTTGGTGGACGTGGCGGATGCAGGAGGGTGTGACGTGGCGGAAGGTGAGGGTTGGGGAAGACGTGGCGGATGCAGGTGGGTGTGACGTGGGGGAAGGTGAGGGTTGGGGATGACGTGGCACCCTACAAGGGTACACGTGAGCGGCGCATGACAAAGCGAGGCGTTTCAGGTGGGTGGGTGGTGACGTCGCTCTTGGTGGGGGTGTGACGTGGCAAGTAGGGCGGGTTGTTGGCGGATGCAAAAGGGTGTGGCATGGCGGCATGTGAGGGTTGGGCCTGACGTGGCGGTTTGGAATGGTACACAAGAGCGGCCACTGACGAGGCGACGCGTGTCAGGTGGGTGGGGGGGTGACGTGGCATGGGATGGGAGGGTGTGACGTGGCACGTGGGGCTGGTTGTTGGTAGACGTGGCGGATGCAAGAGGGTGTGACGTGGCACGTGGGGCTGGTTGGTGGACGTGGCGGATGCAGGAGGGTGTGACGTGGCGGAAGGTGAGGGTTGGGGATGACGTGGCGGATGCAGGTGGGTGTGACGTGGGGGAAGGTGAGGGTTGGGGATGACGTGGCACCCTACAAGGGTACACGTGAGCGGCGCATGACAAAGCGAGGCGTTTCAGGTGGGTGGGGGGTGACGTCGCTCTTGGTGGGGGTGTGACGTGGCAAGTAGGGCGGGTTGTTGGCGGATGCAAAAGGGTGTGACGTGGCAGCATGTGAGGGTTGGGGCTGACATGGCGGTTTGGAATGGTACACAGGAGCGGCCACTGACGAGGCGACGCGTGTCAGGTGGGTGGGGGGGTGACGTGGCATGGGATGGGAGGGTGTGACGTGGCACGTGGGGCTGGTTGTTGGTGGACGTGGCGGATGCAGGAGGGTGTGATGTGGCACGTGGGGCTGGTTGGTGGACGTGGCGGATGCAGGAGGGTCTGACGTGGCGGAAGGTGAGGGTTGGGGATGACGTGGCGGATGCAGGTGGGTGTGACGTGGCAGCATGTGAGGGTTGGAGATGACGTGGCGGTTAGAAAAGGTACACGTGACAACTGCGCATGACGAAGCGAGGCGTGTCAGGTGGGTGGGGGGTGACGTGGCTTGTGGTAGGGAGGTGTGACGTGGCAGAATGGGCCGGGTTGTTGGTGGACGTGTCGGATGGCGCAGGGTGTGACGTGGCAAGTTCACACAGTGTTGCTAGTCACAATCCCATGGTCACGCGGCCACCCACATAACTGCTGGTTTCTCTCTCCCATGTCGTGTTGTATACCTTACACCACTGCGTAGAACAAAGCCTACTTAGTGTGCTCTCAGCTCATGTTTCTGAATCCGCCGGAGAAAATACAGTACTACCCTGCACCGGAGGAAGTGTTCGAAGCGTTCTCTGTCCACTTGTCTGCAGAAGGGCTCGAGGCAATGAAGCTGCTGTGGTTGCACAATGACAAGTCAACCATGGGAGTCTTCAACCACCAGCTGTCCTCAACAAGGTCAACTATCAACTCCACCCTCAGGCCAGCAACATACACCGGCATGGGCCTTGCTGATTACAGCCATCTCGTGGATAGCCTGCCCACTGAGCTACACCCAACGACCTGGTTCGATGACGTTCAACTCCTAGCCGAGTACAGAGATGGTATGTGCAACTCGAAAACACAATATGCCCTACCATATGCCAGTTGGCAGCTACATATCACCGTGCGATGTGGCTCACCCTGACACTCATCCCCCCACTTGATTTCTCTACAAAACCCTTTCCAACCCATACCCTCCCTGCCAAAAAACAGAACAGTGGGCCCTCAACTGGCACTTTGACAAGGCCACCGGGACGCCCTTCAGCAACCCCTTGTTCGCTAATGCGTTCAAGATCTCCTTCAAGAGGGGCGGGGCGGTGTTCACCAAGTTCAAGAGCCGCATGGTGGCATGGGGCCTGTTTTCGGTAAGGATGTAGATATGTGTTTGTACCCCTATGCCTCATCCCCTTAACCCCTTGCGTGTACTTCAACCCTAATCCCTGGTCGATTAGGCCTTTGCAGTTACGTAGATAGTGACGACTGCATCACCGCTTTCAGTTGCCTCATTTACCCGTAACCTACCCTCCTCATAAACCACCCACCCAGCCCTACTACACCACATTGCAGATCGAATGGCCCCTTCTGCAGGATAAGCGTCGCAAGCGAATCAGTAGCCAGCCAGAGCAGAAGAGGCCAGACTACCAGGAGTGGTGCGAAAAGGTCAAACAGATGATCCATTTTGCTGTCGTGGAGCGGAGGATCCCTCACGATCCGGCTATGGGTGCGTTCGTCTTTCCGAACAAGTTCCTCATCGACGACGGCGACCTTGGAGATGTCGTCCTTGCCCACCGGGCGCTTTCAAGGCCCGCCAATGCGTAGGCTATTTGACCTGGTGCTAAGACTGATTGTTGCTAGCATGCTGAATAATGGTTCTTGTAAACCGCAATAATAAATGCAATTTTGAAATCCCCAAAATCCAAAATGAACAAAAACAGAATTTAGTATTGAATAAATTGGTCACGAATTTGCAACAAAACGGATTGCGTCGGAATGTCATCCGGAAAAGCTCGCGTGCCAAATTGGAACTTGAACCGAGCCAAGCCTTGTCGCGAGATGTGTCTCGGAGCTCCTATCAAATGACTCCAACCGTCGGTCCAAATTGGCTACGGATTTTTTTACGCGAAGACAATCGAAATCAAAATTCGACCAAACTTGGCATAGGGTTTTTGTGATGCCTGCACTCGTCTGTAAGCCCTGTAAGGTAGTTTCTTCAACTCTCCTGGATTCACGAGGTTGTTTCAAGGTGGGCTTCACTCACCTTGCTCGAGCCATTGGCGGCAAAGGGCTCACACTAAAACCCAATCATGTCAAGCTGGCATGATGGACCCACTATGTGGAAGCGCCTCTGAGACTGAGATTGTTGGCCTTGCATGGCAGCTGTGTGTTCTGCCGAGCGGCCAAGATGTAACACGGTGTGCGGTGAAAGCTGGTGCCTGGTGGAGGAGACAAGGCAGGTGATTCGCAAGGGGTGCGGGGTACTGGACCCGGTACTTACGCGTGACATGCAAGGGGCAGGGCGGCACATCTCACATGCTATACACGTCTCCATTGACGGGCACGGATCCCTTGAGGTCGTTGTGGCTCAGCTTGCTGCAAGGGACAGGGAAGGATGGAAGAGGTGGGGGAGGGTGGAGAGATTTCAATCATATACTGCTACGCCACCTTGAAGCTTTGTCGACTGTTTTCCCATGCATTGAAAGTTGCTGACATTCTGCAAGCTTCTGTAACTTGATCTAAACAGTGAGACAGCAAAACAGTTGAACGCAAGCATGACATGAGCAAGCACCACCTCGGCCCGTGAGACCGGTGACTTGGGTTTGACTCCACTTCAAGCCAAACTAAATTGATTACCAGACTGACTTAACAGGCAACCCATCTAATGATGTAAGACAGCACTCGATTTGAGCCATCCTAAACTTCACTCAGGTCAATTGACTGAATCAACGTTACATTCACCGCAGTCCAGTCCATAAATCATTGACAAAAACAAACTTATGTCAACCTGACTTGACTCTTTTCATGTCAGTTTTCTCAAAAGCTCAGCTTCTTGGTCATGTCATTGATATCAAAAGTCACGAGCTTATTGCAGGTCAAGTCAAGTCTCTGAACTCTAAAGCAACATCACCCATCACTTTCTCTCTCGAATGGTCCTTTGCATAACCGAACAACGGCAAAATAGTGCCACAAAAAAAACCCCTAGCCAGGAACATAGGGATCCAGTTGCTCCTAGTGGAGCATTTTCCATGGGAGTGGGGCACTTGCTTGCTCACTCAAAGCACTAATTTTCTGGCACCGAGCAAAATAATGAGAAGCCTCATAAAATAATTTGTGTGGCATACCCCTTGCCAAGGACCTTATATACTTCTCTCTTGCTCACGTCCACGTACCCTCAATCCTCCTAGGACTTACATATTTTGCGCATGGATGGCAGTAGGCATGGTGGTGAGGTGATTGTGGGAGAGCTCTCTGCACACAATGAGGGCACGTAGTGAGGGCAGGTGGAGAGGAGAGGGATGTTGAATAGAGAAGGGACATGCATGCTGAAATAAGGGTGGAAGTGCTTGACTGCTACACGGCAAAGGGATGTGCGATTTTGAACAGCTATTTGGAGGAGGACGAGGCGGGTCTGTTGAACATAACATGCGTGACAGCATGTAACTGGGTGGTGTGAGATAATCTGAATTCACACAGCCTTTGCTATCAAGAGCAAAACGCAGCACAAAGAGCTCCCCTTGTAACCGAAAGAAACACATACATACATTCTCGAAGCAGCAACAGCAGAAAAATCCGAAGAGATTTTTGAAGAAAAACTGCCACGAGAGGAAAAGGCATAGTGAAAGAGCCTTACCAGGAGAGTTCACCAGCTAATTCCGTTGGTT